AAAGACAATGTTCACTCTTGATGTGATACATGCTATCTGAATAAGTTATTAAACTAAAATGTTTTTTTTGTTTATTTATTTAAAGTGTTACCCATTTTTTGGTGCAATGTGATAACTAGACTTTGGTACTGATCATTCATTACAACCTTTAATTTTTCCATCGTAAACTACTTCTCCGTCGTAGCTAACGAACTCTCCAAGGTACCTCACAGCTAGAGACATCTCCCCTTGTGAGAAAGCCAAGTACCACTGGGATGAATAGAGATCAGACGGGTAAATTTGTCGGGCTTCTATCAATTTTCGAGGACAAGGAGATTGAATAATCATCTTCCTTCTTGGAGTAGATTCCCATACTTCCATCGAAGGTCCTACTCCAAAGCAAAAAGCATGTATTCACTGCATACAATGTCGTAGTATGACTCAATTTCACCACCAATGCCCGTCCATCCTGGGGGTAGGGTCAACAATTGTACTGGTGTTGAGGTGGGTTGGTTTGGATAGGGGTGTGACGTGACGTGAGGGAAGAAGAAGATTTTTATTAATTATTATTATGAAAATTCAATGGGGGATGAAATTGCAACAAAACGAAAATGAATAGTGAGCAATAGCATGATTCAACATGTATTGATAAAATGGCATTGCTTTTAATCTGTCAAAGCTTGGGATATAAAAATAAGGAGAAAAAAAATTGATAGAACAAGATTGCTACTTTCGTCGAATGTCAGGCTAAGTGTCCAATTTATCTTAAAAGAAAGTGCATTTTGTGAGTAAAATTAACAATTTATTTGGATGTAATCCATCCAAAAGGACTAATTGCACATTCTTTAAAATTTAATTTTTTCTAAACTATTTTTCAATACCATATTCTCCTAATAAAATAATTTTGCATATAAATCTAAATTTTTCCCTACATTTTAAAAACACGTTCTGTTAAAAAAAATTCTAAAAAATTAGGACTCAAACAGGGCTATATAAATCCATGTCTATTTTCTTTCAGCCTGGATGATAAATGTCAACTCCGTTGATTCTTTAAATGTTCGAAGAGTTTGTTAATTAAAACGTTTCTTAATTTTATCCATATTTGATAGAGCTTAGTTTAATTCAAATGATCAACACATTTTAACTACTCATTTGAAATTTATATTTGAAAGTGTTGGAATAAATATTAAAGTAATTTTCTATAAATATTAAACTCTTATATACAATTTAATAAGTGTGGGAAAATAGAATACTAGAATTATATGACTCATTGTGATTTTCTCTCTTTTCCATTATTCTTGAATCAATAAAATCTTATAATTCATCTGTCATATTTTTTGTCTTTATTATTCTTTTGCTTGATTTAATATTTCATTATTTGCCATATAATTTCAACAATTCATTCCAATGGTTGGTTTCATCAAGTGGTATTCAAACAATTCTTGTATTTCCAACATTATTAACAGCGATCCGGACATATTAATTTTTCTTCTAACAAGAGATATTTTGATTGTTTCATAACAGAAAGAAAAAATTTCTAAAGAAATATTTCTGTCAGATTCGGTACGCCACCCACAGAATTTAAATAGCCTAAACATTTCATTTGATTGACAACTTTTCGATAATACGTTTCATTAACTTTCATGAAAATTTACTAAAAATCTAATTTTAGTTCAAATCAAATAGGGGCTTAATATAGTTGGTTATATTTCATGGTTAAGTGTTAATGTTAATATATATTATAAATTTACTTATTTGCATTTCATATTTTTCAATGCTTAGTTGGTCAGGTAGGATATTACTTTGTCTCGAAATTACATCGAAAGCTCCACTCAAGAAAAAGACGGGGAAGACTTCTTCAGATCTTAAACGTTGATTATTGGGTTATTAAAAGCAGCAGAATGTCAAGTCTGGAAATTTTTTATGAAAAAGGTTATTTTCAAGTGCATGGAGGAAATTAAAGGTAAGCAGTGAAGCAGAACAGTGAATAACCTTTCATAAAAATATTATATTGGGTCCCTCCACTCACCCCAAACAATAAGGATAAATTTAAATATACAATATTGGTTGACAATCACATGTTGTCAAAATTCTAGCATGTGATGTAGAAAATAATTTTTTAAAATTGATGCATATGATGTCAAATAGGATGATGTCAACCAATGTTATCAATCTATAGGGTACATGGTGAGGAGGGTGCCGATTTTGTTGACAATCTCTCACACACATTGAGGCTGAGAGGTTGTCTTGCTGTCCAAATGAAATTGCTGAACAATAAACTTGTATCTAAGTTGACGTGGCAAACTGGTATCTTTATAGTTGAAGCTATCTATATATAAACAGATATTGAGTGAGAGATTAATTAGGAAGGAACTAGAATTCTAGTTTTCTCTGAGAATGGAAATTGTTAAGAGATGGATCCAAGGAGCGAAGAGCAAATTGATAATTCTTTATTTGTGTGCGCATCCACCCAAGGATGTCCAGGATCCTCCCCCTCCAGCCATGTTGGCCTCTGACGACAATCAAAATAATCCACCACCTCTTCAGCCAGAGAATGTCGACTGGACAGGTCCAATCATTTCTTTCTGCTTTGCATCAGCTATTGGTATTGCAATGTTGCCACCAAGTCAAAGAGAAACCTTACAAATGTTCTTTTTCTGTGTTCTTGTGATTCTTGCATTTTCGTTCATGTGGGTGAGAAAATATATCCAAAGCAGGTATCCATACTGGGCCAAAAAGATGGAACTGGCTGGAATATTGTGTAGTTCCACAGCTTTCTTTTTAGGCATTAGTATGAGTTTCCCGTTAATCCTCAAGATATTTTCGGGGTTCATTTACATTCTCTGTTTGATTGTCATATTCAATGCAATCGATGCTAGTCCATAATCTGCCTGCAGCTCAACTGAATTACTTTTTCAGTCAAGTTTATGTTTCTGGAAAAATTATGGGGTTCTTCCTGTGATGATTCCCACTTATGTAGTTTTCACACTAGATTTTCCTTGTGAAAGATAATAAACATAGTTTCTTTATTTTCTGGAATTAAGATTTTTATGATGTTAAGTGCTGACATAATTTCCAATCTTTATTTCCACTATAATTGGATGCTCGCTCGTTCGGTTGAAAAATGTGGGAAGATAAACCCCGGAAAATGAAAATAGTTTAAAACAAGTCAAGAACCAATCAATTACTTGAGTTTTTTAAATTTTTAAAATTTTCCGAACAATCTTTATAAATCTTTTAGCTAGTTAATAA